TGTGTGTGTGTGAAACTCATGCACATATATGTTGAGTGACTCTTTGGAAGTTGTAGGTTGAGTGGTGATTTGATTAGAGAATCTGAAACATTGGTGTTGGAATGTGGGGTGGAATAATTAATGCCGCATTGGATTTGATAACATATAGGAGTACTACTACTACACTCAATACGTACGTTATTTATTGTAGGTTGTGATATATAATCCACGTACTGATTCTACTATAAATAGAACAAGCAGAGAGGGCATATATATATATCAATAAAAATATACAGTACTACTACTTATTATTGTCCTTAGGTCTATTAAATATATGGAGAAGCTTGATGAACACACGTGTTTGAAGCTGGAGGTGCTATACAAGTATGGTACAGACCTAACCCAAATGGGTCTCCAGGTAATTTAATTAATTAATCAATCCCGCCCAGTATGTGAACTGTTACTGCATGTTCTAACAACCGCTAGTTTTAGCATTGTTCAGGATAAATTGGACCCTGTAATAGGGAGACAGAAACAGATAGAGCGTCACACAAAGAATAATGCATGTCTGGTTGGTGATCCTGGTGTTGGCAAAACTGTCATTGCAGAAGCCCTTGCCCAATCCATTGCAAATGCCTCTGTTCCACTACTTACTTACACACGACATATATATATATACACACACACAGCAATGGAAATCACAAATTTGACTTTGAATTAAATCCCATATATATATATATATGGGGTAAAAATCCATGATCAGATATTTTCCATAGACATGGGGCGTCTTATTGGTGGTGCATCAAATCGTGGGGAATTTGAAGAAAGGTTAATTAAGGTAGTTGATGAAGTGAAACAGAGTAATGGAGTCATAATTCTCTTCATTGACGAACTTCATACTCTTATTGGAGCCGGGGCAGGAGGAGGTCAAGCATTGGATGCCGCTAACATCTTGAAACCAGCCCTTGCAAGAGGGGAACTCAGGGTACACTTACATATATATATATATATATATATATAAAAATGTATGTATTTGCTTCATAATTAATTAATAATTATGACTTCTATTAGTTTTTCCCTAATCTTCTCAAATTAAATATTAATAATTAATTTGATGCACTCAGTGCATTGGTGCCACAACAATAGATGAATACAAGAAGCACATTGAGAAAGATGGTGCATTGAAAAGGCGTTTTCAGCTTGTACAAGTGCCCGAACCATCGGTTGATGAGACAATACACAGATAAGGCTTTAACTGCAGCTGCTCGTTTGTCAAAACAATACATGCATAAGGTTATAATTTCTTCCATTTTAATGGACAATACTTGGATAAGCTCATTAATTATAATTATTATATAGTATTTAAATACTACTTTGTTTCAGTGATGGATTCCTGCCAGACAAGGCAATAGACTTGATCGATGAAGCTGGTTCCTTTATAAAGCTTCATCATAATCAAACTGCTCTGGTGACAGAATTGGACATACAACAGATAGTCTCCGAGTGGATTGGAACCAAAGTTGTGTACAGTGAAGAAGAATCAAAGCGCTTTCTTAAAATGGAAGAAACACTCCGTCAAAGAATTGTAGGTCAGGAAGCAGCTGTTAAAGCAGTGAGTCGTGCCATTCGCAGAGCCGCAGTTGGCATAAGGGACCCCGACCGCCCCATTGCTAGCTTTATGTTCACGGGGCCTACGGGTGTGGGAAAAACGACTCCATCATTAGACTTGACATGAGTGAGTACATGGAGAAGCATAGTGTGTCAAAGCTTTTGGGATCTCCACCTGGCTATATTGGACATGACAGTGGTGGCCACCTAAGGGAGGCTGTTCGTCGCAGATCACACTGTGTGATTCTGTTTGACGAGATTGAGAAGGCTCATAACGATATATATAATGTAATGCTTCAGGTCCTGGATGATGGTAGGTTAACAGAGCAAAGGACGTACCGTGGATTTTACCAACACTATAATCATAATGACATCAAATATTGGCGGTAACTTGATGAGTAGTACTAGTGCAGTAGTAGAAGGGGAGACTAATGAGATTAACGACAAGGTGATGAGAAAAGAAGTAGCAGAAGAATTTCAAGACAGAATTCTTGAACAGGTTGGATGAAGTGATTATATTTAAGCGAATTGAATACTCACAAGCGAAGGAGATCTTGAATAGAATACTGGAAGGTTTGTACAAAAGGGTGAAGGCTGAAAAGAATTTGAAGCTGGTAGTCACTGAAAAACTAAAGGACAAGTTGGTTGAAGAGGGATATAGCCCAGCCTATGGAGTAAGGCCATTGAGTAGGGCCATCACAAGGCTCTTGGAGGACAGGTTGGCTGAGGGGATCATCAATGGAGATGTCAAAGACGCTCGTTCGGTTTCAATGGATGTTGATCATATGGGTACTCAAGTCATAAGTTACTGATCATCAATGGAGATGTCAAAGACTCTCGTTCAGTTACAATGGATGTTGATCATATGGCTACTCAAGTAATAATTTACTGATCATATTGATGATGAGATTACCAAATTTATTTAAATCATGTTATCATAAGCTTTTGTCTAGCTAGCTTGGTGGTTAATTTGCTCTTAATTAATTAATTTTGAGATAATCTATACATGATGAGTTTTGCTTGTACGTGGCTAGCTCTATTAAATTTACTACTTGTTTCATGGAATCTCAGTGAGATTTTAGAAGCCATCTAACCTGGTGTAGAAATTGATCTTAATCTTAAAGTGTACGTTCATTAATCAATGGATATATCTCATGAAAATAATCATATTTATAGGAGAAAGTATACCGATTGAAATAACGCTTGCCCAATGTATTACGAATCCGTTCTATTAATTGAAAAGGATAAATTGATGATTGGTGCACGTGGCTTCTGTGTTTTATGCTCACCAGTAACAATAGTTAGGAAGTTTGGGGGATTAAATTAATTTTTTCCCTTTTATATAAAGAGTGGGAATACACAAAAATATGAGTGATAGACGAAGACCAAATCATTCTAATCAAACTTTATATCTTTGAACAATTGAAAAAGAGTCCTACCATTTGGTCCGATAAATAAAGACCTACCATTTTATCAAGTCTATGTAGCTACTTATATGTCAAATATACTGAGATTTATTTTAAAATATAAGGTAATTGACTCTTTGAAAAGCTGTAATCATTTTTCTAAGTTTATTTTGATATAGTATCTTTGTTGGCAATTAAAGTTTCAACCACTATATATATGTATATTTATTTTATATTTTAAAGTACATCTCTGTAAGGACTATTGAGATACTTCACGTTGTGTCTTTGATCATTAATATCCATTTATTACTTTGATAAACCTTTGTTAATTGTTATAATGATCAAAGCTAGTGATCTATCTAACTGTCCGAAACAAAAACAAGAAGAGAATTTTTTTAAAAAAAATTGCAAAGCGTGGAAAAATTATAAAAACATTGCATATTTTGTTCAAATCAAATTATTAAATTTGAGCACCATGAAACTTGCCGTGAAAACGAAAAAGAAGAAGATGATACAGCTATGAAGAACTAAAAAGATAAGGAAAGTGGATATGAAAAACTGAAAGATAAGGAAATGGAAAGGGAAATGGACGTATTTTATGAAAATAAATATAAGTAGTAATGATGCTTATTTAAGTTAAAATTTTAGATAATCACGTCATATTTTTATGTATATCGATTTTAAGTTAAGGTATTAAAGTACTCAATGATATCATTTTCTATTGAAAAATAATTCTTGCACCGATTTTTTGCTAGACATACTTATTTTAACTTTAACAATTAATTAATGAGCAATACTACAAATCTCCAATTAGAATCCCAGATTCGATCTTGAATATGATGTGGCAATAATTAAAAAGACATTAGAATCCTCTATTTTAATCACTTTATTCTTTTTATGCATTTATATTTTCTATTTTAGCAAAAGGAAAGAAAGAACAATTACTAGGTTTCTCTCTCTATTTCTAATTTATTTTTTTCTACTAATATTTTTTTTTTATCATATATATATATATATATATATATATATATATATATATATATCCTCTTTTGAGCTCTTTATATATTTCAATTATTGTTGAAATGTCTTTAAATTTAACCTTAATCAGAAAATAGCAAATCAAAATACAATTATAAAAGTTCTAAGTGAATTATGTAAATTAAGGTTCTTATTCATGAGAAAAAAGTCATTCATTCATGATAAAAAAAATTATAACTTTTAGTTTTAATTATTTGATACTTTAATAGAAGAGAGTTCTTATGCATGAGAAAAATGTCAATCATTCATGGTAAAAAATTATAACTTCTAGTTTTAATTATTTGAAAATTGAACTCCCAAACGAATTGAAGTTTATTAAGTTACATGAGGGATTTTACCATGAATTTATTGATTGAGGATTTGGATTCCATAATCATAAGTTTTGCTATTTTTCTCTCTTTCTTATATTAAGATCTTTTCCTATTTAAAAAAAAATACTTTTAAAATACACAAAACAGCCAAATAAGCAGCCACTTAATTTAAGATAAAATCACAAATTTAAATTCATAAAGTATAATATTTTCCTTAATTATTTCATTCATAACTACACTTGAGGCTAAAGAGAATTTCAGAACACAAAATAGGTTAAATGACCAAAAATAATATATATATATATATTATCAGGGCAAAAAGAGGAACATGAAGAGATTTCCTCTAGCAAAGCTTCTCCAACAGAAACAGGAGGCTCAAAAAATCGGAAAGAAGAGACCATATACATATTTCAAGAGCTACCATAAAAAATAACCTTAATATCGTGAATAATCGTGACCAAAAATAAATTATTCTAAACTAAACATTGATATTCACCTTTTTACAATTTACCAATTCTCGAACAACCATCACCAGCTCCTGTTAAATTTGCAAAAATAATTTCAATAGTTTGGATAGAAAAAAAAATCCATGAAGAAAAAAATAATAATAATACTAATAATAAAAAAATATAGATTATATATATTAGTGTAATTTAAACGGGGCTTTCTGGACATTTCACATTGAGAACTGGAGAGAGTGGAGCGCAAAAGTCATTCCTTATTGTTTTTGCAATCTCTCTCACGCGCGCGCACACATCACAAATCATTGTTGTAATCTGAACAATGGGGGTTGGAGTTTGATTAGATCGAAGAGATCTACATAGAATTAACTGTAATGGGTGCTTCTCAATCCTCCGTACAAGTACTGGAAGACGACGAGGACGTGGACGAGGAAGAAGAAGATAAGGAGGAGGAGGAAGAAGATGATAACGAGGAAAATGAGACGAGAGAAGTGGGTGACAACCATTTGGTGAAGAAGATTCTGGAACAAGAGCCGGAAATGCTACCATACCACGCCTCAGCATCCCCACTATCTCCTCAGCCCTCCACTATTGGCACTCCCAGATTGGGGCTGGGGCCGTCCATCAAGGTCTGGGACCCTTATAATGTTCTGGCTCCGCCTCCGCCACCGCCACCGCCACCGCTAACGCAGCTTCGGAGCTTCTCTTCCGATGTGATTGCCATTGGCGATGATGATGATGACGACCGGTACCGGAGAGTTACTGCGGAGGTGTTCTTCATCAGTCACGGTGATTCTCACATCAATTTAAGGCCAGATTTGGTTTCTGGACGCTGCCCTGAGGCTGCCCTCACCCTGAATGGGAAGCGCCAAGCCAGAGCTTTGGCGGTCTTCCTCAAATCTCAGGGGATTCGCTTTAATGCCGTTTATACTTCGCCATTGGATCGGGCCAAATCAACCGCTGTTTCAGTCTGTCAGGTATTTTCCATTTTCTTCATTTTCCTCCTCTTTAATTAATTGCATTCCTTGTTGAATATTTGCAAGTATTATTATGATTATCATTTTGAGTTTTACTAAACACATGTTTATCACAAAAGGAAATAGACATATTGCTCTTTCCACATGCCTTGGAGGTAAGGCTGCTTACATTTAGACCGCCGGAGCCTCAGTGCACTGGATTTGCCCTTTTACGTCTAGCGGATGTACCTCAAATAATATATATCTTCCTCTAGAACCATTTACTTATCAATAGAAATTGAAAAAAGAAATTGTAGTTCAATCATGCTGTTCAACTCTATTTTGGCCCATATTTTACAAATTTATGCTAGCAAATCTTAACACACCCAAAATAATTCGCATTACAAGTCTTTGTTAAGCACAAAGACCCACTACAATGTCTCCATGATTAAAGGAGTACACGGAATTCAGGAGGTCTTGTAAGATCATAATAAGCTCACAACTTTTTTGTGTTACCACAGTTTAATGTCTTTCTTTTTCTTTTTTCTTCTGTGTCAGAATTTTCTTTTATCAGAGTTAATAGTGATATACAATAGGAGCGACACACCTTATCATAAGCGACCTCGGGGCACGCCTCCAATCAGTCTTCACAAGAAAGAAATGAAATTCACTATACACCTTGGCATCTACAAATCGCCTCAAAGAAACATCTATTACATCAAATACATCCAAATAAGAATCAAAGCTTTATCATACTAAAGAAGCAACTAACCTGTCACCATCTATTCCATGAGCAGCCAGCTTCTAGTAAATACTGAAAATTTCAAATTCTGGCATCATTCACAAGTTTGCAGGGGTATCTTTATCATATGGTAAAGTGCAAAAAAACACCCGTTGATATTCAATGTGGTACATTAACGGAGGAGTAAATGAGAGCATGTAGTTACTTTGCCATTAACAGAGGAGTAAATTGACACAAATGCCTTTATGTAATACAAGGAAAAAATATCCCTCGATTGTACATATGGTACACATAGAATAGTGCACATAACCCTCTGACTTTGCTTATACTTGTTTTTTATTTTTTGTAATGGACACTTTTATGTAATGGAATACCATTTATTTATTTATATATTTTATAATGGATACTTTTTGGATGCTTACTAGTTTAGTTATATTTACTATTCAAAGTTAGACATCGAACACGGTTTAGCCTTTGAATGAAGTCATAAAAATCGAGGGGGGTAATATGTGCTACATGAAACATCAAAGTTTCTTTTTTGCACCATACCCTGTATGTGTACATTGAAGGGTGTTTTGGAAATTAAAGGCCAACTCTCGGTCACGTGAGCTGCACATGTTCACTTTAATGGCTAAATTCTAACAGTCGTTGGACAGAGGGTAGTTAAGTGCAACATTTTTCCAAAGTAGAAGGTAGTTATGGACTCATTCTGTTATACAGGGTTGTTATATGCACTACATGAAAAATCGAGGGCTGCTTTTTTCACTAACCCTTTAACATATCTATACCCACATAATCTGCCCAGCACACCCTCTCTATTGTTTGCATCAAAGATATCTTTCACAGTAATCATTCTCAATTATCTTCCGATTTTATTCTGTTTAAATACTGCAGATAGGTCATAACAGGCATCTTCCAACCATGTCTAGGAAGGATTTTCCCCTTAGCGTCAACCTCACTATAACTCACTGGACCGCATTTCCTCAATTTTGCGACTACAAATCCCTTGCATATCAGCTAAGAAATAGGTTGTGGCGGTCATATTATTCAAATTGTGTTCTACAAGATTTGTAAGTGGCTTGAATCAGTATCACTACCTTTGGCATTCATCTAATTTGGCCTATATAGATCAGTCGAAATGATGGAATCCGCTTGGAAAAGCCCTGAACCATCTAGAAAATGTTTACTGAGACCATCTTCAAGGTTTCCTCTGCCCTACCTTTCTATGAATGCTGTCGCAAATGCAAATTTGGATTGTAGAATTTAAGACTATTCCACCTTATCAGCCCGTCGTTATACGGCAGCTTCTTTGAGGCCATAGTTTAATTTTTCCTTCTCAGTATCAGGTGAATTGAATTTCTGTTTCTTGATGTTTACTTTAAACAGCTTGCATTGGAACAACATAAAAAGTAACAAAGTATTTTCAGTCTCTTTTTGAATAATAAGCTCAAATAATTTTACAAAATTGTTTCTACTTTCAGTACTTGAGCAAAACAACTTTGAATTTTTTACAGAGAGAATACATTTGTAGCTGCAGATAGTCTCTAAGATTGTTTTTCTAAAATTAATGTATTCTTTTTTTTTTTTTATCTCTCTCTTTATTAGCTGTTATTTGATGCACATTAAACTTTTTGATCTAGAACCAAACTTTTGGAACATGGTAAAAAATAAAAATAGATGGGACATTGGCAAGCTGACGTTCATTATTGTCATTTTTTATTTTTTATTAAATAAAAAATGGAAAACAAGACTAATTGATAACTACAGATCAATAGTGGAGTTAGAGTTCTAGTTGCTCAGAAAACAATAAAATTTCATCAATAATGAGTGAAAAAACTAACTAAATATCCTATCTTTCTCGTCATAAGATGTTCTTAAAATATTACTGAAGCCGTTGTAATGTCTATTCTATACAATTACCCTTTCCTATAATAAAAAGAAGTATCTCAACATCCAAGCTGTATTGAATTTGTGCCAAAGTATATCCAGGAGTGCTGGCAATAGCTGAATTTTAAGATGTTATGTTTAATGAATGGTATATTTAAAGTATGCCTGGCACATGACCAGAATACAGAATGTTGCGAAAAGTGTTAATATCCATCACGTACATGGTGTCCACTCTTCTTAGAAGTCACAGTCACTCTTCTTAGAATTCACAGTCTTACGGTTATTGGTATTATGCAGGATCAGAGTACTAAAGGTTACATAACAGTTGGGTGATACCATGTTTGTACTTGTCAGAAGGCCATTATTATTAATCCTGCAGATTTGTTCATGATTTTGATTCACTGCATCTATTTTACTTCTTGAAGGGGCGGTTTAAATAATAGTAACTGAGTAATAATCTGGTGTTTCATATTCTGCATGGAATAGATTATTATTGATTTAGTCTTTAAATTTGCTTCTTAACTTCAATTAAGCAAAATGTGCATGCATCAAACCATGCAGGAGATAAGTTTTGCGGAAGATCAGATACAATCCTCAGATGCACTTTCAGAGATGAGTATGGGACATTGGGAGGGCTGTCATCGGTCAGAAATATACACACCTGAAATGTTGAGCTTAATGGAAAGAATACAGCCTGATTTCTCTGCACCATCTGGAGAATCACTTAGGCAGGTGGAATTCCGAATGGTCCAGTTCCTCAATGGAACAGTTCTGGGACTGCCTGAGAGGTTGAGATCAGATTTCTTGTCTCCAAATGAGAGCCAAGGATTTACTCACCACAATTCTGACGCTCTTTCGAACTCAATTCATGACCGAGATGGGCCTTCTCCTCCACCTCACCATTGGGATTTTCTTCAGAGACATCGGCAAGGGTTTACAAGGAAGAAATCTGGTAAGAGCAGACTACAATTTGTGACTACAACTGAAGATCATGAGGCTGATGATGAGATTTCCTCTCGAGACTCCAAAAATCATAACTCCCTTCCTGAAATAAATGTCAGGAACTCCCCCTCCTTTGTATCCGCTGTTGGTGTTTTCACTCACTCGGTGCCAATTAAGTGTCTTCTCACAGGCCTCCTCGGATGCAGCCCCATCATGTCACATAAGATCTGCATAGACGATTCTTCAGTGACAGTTTTACAACATTCATTGAAAATGGGGTGGCAGATAAAGAAAATGAATGATACTGCTCATTTAAGACTTCTCTAGTCACGATATGAGAATTATAATTTGGAATCATCCATGGGAAAAATGAGTGGTTGACTGTTGGCTGAAAACTGGCAGTTATACAACATACAGATTGAAATTATCCTCTGTAACTTAGGTCACACGATTTGTTGATACGTTTGCTTCTTGTAACCTTGCAATATTTATTTCCAGCTAATGAACTCCGAAAAAGTAAGAATTTGATAATGGAGATGTGATATTGGTCTGAGGTTTGGTGTCTGGTTCAGTGTAAAACGCTTGAGCATAGGTACCACTAGCGAGTTCGAGCCTCAGTAAGGTTAGGATTATCTCAAGTAATCACTCTCCAGGATCCTGCCATTCTGAGACAAGAACTGAGTTATGCAATTTTTTTTTAGTTGTGATGTTGGTGTGGGCTGATTCTTTTGATTTGTAGCATTAACTAGTGTTGTTATTGTAGAGTAAGATGCATATTCCTGTTTAAGAGGAGAAAAAGTTGTTTTCAGTGTATAACTTAGTTTTTGTGTAATGCAATCGGGAGGGAACCAACCATGTCCTTGGAAACATTAGGGTGAAACTAGACTACGAGTTCCCTATTACTCTTTTTTGTGGATTATACTAGTAATAATTTGGCAGACAAGCCTTTTAATTTTTGTTTTAAATTTTTTTACCATTTGTTATTGTTATTACTATTTACTTCCTCTATTTCAAAAAGAGACAAGCATCTTGGAATTAAATTAAATCACAGGCGATTAGCAAGTGTAATGTTGTATTCCATGTTATGGGGTTTGTGTTTAAACTTTGCACTATCTTCCGACCACTACCCTTTAACATTTTTCTTATAAATAAATAAATTTTAAAAAAAAAATAGAAAGAGAGAAAAAAACTTTAGATGATTAGATTTATTTTTGTGTGTGTGGGCAGAGCAAAACCATATCATCACATGAAAATTATAAAAGCATGAAGATGATTTGATAATTTATGATTTTTCTTTCCATTTCTTTGTTTCTTGAAGACGAATTGAATTTTTCATACGTAATTGAAATTAAACCTCAGCGAATGAGTTATACGAGTCCGTTTTAACACTAAATTGCGTGCAACGGGATGACATATATATAAAAAGTGTACAAAGCTTTTTTAACCAACGCTCTGGCGCTTGAGATCTGAACATGGCATGGCGTGGTATATATAACATTATATATGCTCAGATCTGAGGAATTAAGTTATAAAGAAAGAAATAAAGAAAGAAAGAGAGAGATTGAATGAATGAATGAAGATTTCAAACTCCAATTCAATTTATTTACCCAAAGTTTGTTCTAAACTGTACCACTACTATTCAACAACAACAACTATCCCCAACATCACAACCACCGCCTTGTTCAACAAATATGTTGACAAGACGAGTGTCTACTCCTGGAACTCAATCATCGCCGAGTTGTCTCGTTCTGGCGACTCCCTCGAATCCCTCAGAGCCTTCTCCTCCATGCGAAAGCTCTCTCTCAACCCAAACCGTTCCACCTTCCCTTGCACCATTAAATCCTGCTCCGCCATCTTCGATCTTCATTCCGGCAAGCAAGCGCACCAACAAGCATTCGTCTTCGGCTTCGAATCTGACATTTTCGTCTCCTCTGCATTAATTGACATGTACTCTAAGTGTGGACAATTGAAGGACGCAAGGAAACTGTTCGACCAAGTTCCTCACAGAAACGTTGTTTCTTGGACCTCAATGATCACTGGCTATGTTCAAAACGGCAATCCCCACCAAGCCTTATTACTGTTCAAAGACTTCCAGATTGAAGAGAGTGAGAGCCAGAGCGATGGTGATGGTGATGGTGAAGAGCAAGTGTGTATAGATTCCATTGCTATGGTTTCAGTTCTGTCCGCTTGTTCTCGTCTTTCTGAGAAGACCATTACGGAAGGGGTTCACGGGTTTGCAATTAAAAGGGGATTTGAGGGGGATTTGGGTGTTGGAAATACTTTGATGGATGCTTATGCCAAGTGCGGTGAACTGGGTGTATCTAGGAGAGTGTTCGATGAAATGACTGACAAGGATGTAGTTTCTTGGAATTCCTTGATTGCAGTGTATGCGCAAAGTGGATTGTCTGAGGAGGCATTGCAAGTGTTCTATTCCATGGTGAGATATACAGATGTGGAGTATAATGCTGTCACTCTGTCTGCCGTATTATTAGCATGTGCGCATTCAGGGGCTCTGCGACCTGGCAAGTGTATACATGATCAGGTACTTCCAACTGTCTAATCCCCTTGATTCTACCCCCAAATTAATAATCATATTGTGTCCTTTCAACTATATGTATGTTTTAATTATACTGTTGAATATAATACTTTTTTTTTTTTTTTGCCTTTTTCTTTCTTACAGGTTGTAAGGATGGGTTTGGAGAATAATGTTTTTGTGGGTACTTCAATTATCGACATGTATTGCAAATGTGGGAGAGTAGACATGGCAAGGAGGGCATTTGATCGCATGAAGGAAAAGAATGTCAAGTCGTGGACTGCCATGATTGCAGGTTATGGAATGCATGGCCGTGCCAAAGAAGCTCTGGAGGTCTTCTACCACATGAATCGGGCTAATGTGAGACCAAATTACATTTCTTTCGTGTCAGTGCTAGCAGCTTGTAGCCATGCTGGTCTGTTGGATGAAGGATGGCATTGGTTCAAAGCCATGGAACACAAATTTCATATACAACCTGGGGTGGAGCATTATGGGTGTATGGTCGATCTTCTTGCCCGTGCTGGTTTTCTGAATAAGGCTTACGACTTGATTAAGGAAATGAAGGTGAGGCCTGATTTTGTGGTTTGGGGTTCTCTTCTTGCTGCCTGTAGGATCCACAAGAATGTGGAGCTTGGGGAGATTTCTGCAAGGAAATTATTCGAGTTAGACCCGAATAATTGTGGGTACTATGTCTTGCTGTCTAACATATATGCCGATGCTGGAAGGTGGAAAGATGTTGAAAAAATGAGAGTACTTATGAAGAATCATGGACTGGTTAAAACACCTGGATTCAGTTTAGTTGAAGTAAAAGGTAGGGTTCATGTATTTTTGGTTGGAGATAGGGAGCATCCTGAACATGAGAAGATATACAGGTATTTGGAAGAATTATATGTGAAGCTGCAGGAAGTTGGATATGTACCCAATATGATGTCAGTTCTTCATGATGTCAATGAGGAAGAGAAGGAAATGATAATAAGAGTCCATAGTGAGAAGTTGGCTGTTGTCTTTGGAGTTATGAATGCAGTTCCTGGTACAACAATCCATGTGATTAAGAATCTTAGGGTTTGCGCTGACTGTCATACTTCAATTAAGTTGATTGCTAAGATTGTTGATCGAGAAATTGTGGTCAGAGATTCAAAACGGTTTCATCATTTTAAGGATGGGTTTTGCTCATGTGGGGATTATTGGTGATAGAAGAAAAAGAAAAATTTAAGCAAATGTTGTATGCTGATGATCATTGTCGACTTTCATAATCAAAGTTCTTGAGCGGGAGAATGTTGCTAATGGCCCTGTTATCTTGTTGGGATGGTGAAGTATATTCACTGTTCGAGAAAGCAACACCAATATTTATTTTTTGTTGTAAATTAAGGAAGAATGGAAAAGAGGAAAAAGGAAAAAGTAAGTAGACAAGAAAAGAAGCAATACTTCAGCTTCTCAATTTGATAGGGCAATAAGATAAAGATTGCCATATCTTGAACTGTTTTCCAATAGAAGCTCTTTAAGTTGATTACATTGGCTATTTGCTTGGGTGAAGCTGATGCAAGCAATAATAAAATAAAGGATTTTTGTTTGCACACCCACTGTCTTGCAAGTGCTCAGATAATTCTTTGGATTTGAGAATTTTATAAATAACAGATTGCTTGGTATTTTATACCACTCGTGAAGGCTGAAGCCACCACAGTCGATTCAAACTAGATGTTTACTTGGAAGAGGAGACAGAACATGCAGTACCATACTCATTGCCAACGATGTGTCACAAGCATCGAAAATCTCGTTGAAAGGCTTCTTGTGATGATGTTATTGAGGCTATAAATTTTTGAACATATGAGATAACTCTGGAGCACCCTGTTCTCACTCATTACTCTGTGCAGCCATAGCCGGAGCTCTAATAATTTCTCTTTCTAAATCATCAGATAATTAATTCTTCCTGCTGCCATAAATTCTCCTGCACGAGCTTTGTAATTTGAAAGTTCAGTTCAGACCAGGTATTCTTCCACTCAAAACCTCCTACTGCCAGATCTCCAACCATTTTCCATTCTAGTAATATATCATTTTTTTTCAGGAAAATCTGTGGCCTTTCCATCCTTTTCTAGTGTTTCTAATTTCTGTTTTCATAATGAAGCCCATTTTGTACAGTTCAGTAACATTATTTTAGAGATTCAAATCTAGCATCAACTCATTCTTCAACAAGATCTGCAGTAATGAAATGAGGATGGGAAATTGAAACTTCAACGTTCTGGAATTCTTTGCTTGAGTTGGATTTCTCTAAAGCTCGAAGTAGAAGATGTGGAGCCTGAAGCTGGAACATGAGTTGATTCAAAATTTCGCCAGTCATACTTTTAGCTTAGGAACAGCAAGACCTGCCAAATTCAGGTAAGAATCACCTTCTTCTTCTGTGAGTTCCAGTATGGCCCTTTCTTTTGTGTGCGCGCCCGCGCTGATAATTTATCATTAAAATGAATTAGAGTGTTCATATAAAGTTAATTCACTATTTAATGAATTAGAGTATTCATATACAATCTGGTTTAGTGAATTTTTATGGAATGCACTAAGTAGAGTGTTCATATAAAGCTAGAGAACCATATATGTGTCTATATATATAAATATATTTATCTTTCCAATGGATTTGGATAGACGGTTGGATTGATCCCAGTTGTACCAGAATGCTCTGGCAAGTATTGGTATCCATAAGGGAATCTGGATCCCTTTCCGGAACATGTCAACTGAACATGTCAACTGTTGAGCAATACACTGTAGTCGACTGGGATTCTCGATTAAATGTGAATGTGTAGTGTAAGTGATACTCTCTGGCGAAACAATTACAGAAGTACCTGAAGTTGGACTTACTCTCCATTTTGAATGCAAGCAACATCTCTGTTGATGGCTAATGGAGTAACAGTACTATGCCCTTGAAGAAATTGCAACTGTTTTAATGTGGAGGTTTTGGGTTTTGACTTTTGTATGTCAAATCATTTTCTGATTTGGTGGAATTCCCTTAAATGGAAATCGATACCATTACTGCTTTACTTGGACCTGTTATTTACCATTGATTCATTTTACTAAGTAATGGAATGTCTTACTATTACACTAAACATAAATAGAAAAACTAGGATTCATGGATCCATCTTGGTTGAATAGAAAGAATCAGAATTGATTCTACCAGCAGGTTTTTTCAAAAAAAATAAAAGAAAAAGAAAACGGTATTTATTTTGTGTGGATGTATTCCACATGCCATAATTTCAGAGTCCAATGGTAAACAAGAATGGTTTCCTGTACATTTTTTAAATCTGAGCGATCTCACAATTGTTTTATTAAAGAAATTATTCGAGGCGGTCTCCAATTAATCAAAGGGTGCAGGAAGGTATAGATTAGAAATAACTGAATTATCAAGTTTATAGCTATCATCAAATATATATGTTTGTATGTGTGAAGATGTGTGCTTTGTTTATTATGAATGGATTCACCGATATATCTATTCTAACTGAATTAATGTTATCAATAATTTGACCATCACGGCTGCACATGTTATTTATTTGTTTAACTAATAGAATATATAGCTTGATTGAAGATGAGATGTGCTTTACCTTTCAAATAAAAAAAGGTTGAGATGTGGCTTCTGATTCGTTTCATGGATTCTCAGGTACACGTCCAGGTATGAGGCATGGAGGGATGGGTAAACTTTGGAGTATCCAGTTTTCAATTGCCACAAGTATTTGAAAGCAGAGACAAAGATCTGCTTAAGGGTAACTTACAGGATAAATATTACGGTAAATTACACTTACCTCCCTGTAGTTAGAGTTTAATACACTTTACCTCTCATGTGTTTTCGATCATTACAGTTGTCTTATGTCATCAGTTTCACTAATTGGTTTTTCAACTCTATATGACAAATATGTCTTTCAAATTGCTGGGAAGACACTTGGGAGTTTTGGTACAAATACTTTTCGACATTCATCAATCACATGCTTACGTGCAAAGCTTCAGGGCTGCCAATTTCATTCCAAATCCAAAATATAATATGTCTAGTACATGTGCCTGTAAATATAGTATATTAAGATGGGAATAATGATGAGGGAAGAATGTATGTGCATGTGTCTGGTTGTTGTTGAGTTGATGTAGGTAGGACTAGTTATAATTATATACAAGTGGAAGTAGAATGGAATAAATTAATGAGGGTTTTGGGCTGGCCTGCCCTAACAACTCCCTTTTAAATACAATGATGGATGGATATGGCAGAGCAAATTAGTATAGGTATCCAACTAGGTCTAGGTCTAGGTAAACCATGTCTCGGATCCGAAGGGTATCACATTTAGTTTAACTTGGATCAATGAATGGTGAAGGATATTGTGTGATGACCCTGTTTTTCAAATCAGTGCATCCTGTGAAGACCCGAAGTTTGACCCGATAACGGATCCGAAATGCGAAAATGAAAGCATAATCCAGGTTTCTAGGGATGTACAATTGTATATGGTCCTTAAGATACCTAAGTGACCTTCCGTAAGGTTACGGAACTCAACGAGAATGAATGCGGAAGAAAAAAAGTAAAAATAGACTAAATATGGCCCCAAGGGTAAAATGGTCATTTCATACTAAAACAAAGTCTATGGAGATCTACAATATCTCTAAGACACAAGTTTGACTTCCCATGAAGCCACGGTATACAAAAGAATACAAAGCGGAAGCAAAGTTTTAATAAAAACGGACAAGTTTAACCCTAGGGGCAAACTGGTAATTTTGCAAATTGATTCGGCTTCTACTGAGCACACCATTGGATGGAGAACAAAAAAATAATAAATTTAAACTTAAAAATCGCCTAATTTGAAGTCCAGACGAAGGCAAACGATCAAAAACAAAATCGGACGTCGACGCGGCAAAAAAACCAAGCCCATTGCGCACACGCGCCCATGTACACGGCCATGACATTGGCTGCTGACAGCAACCCTTTTTTGCTAAATTTGCTGAAACAGAAGGTTTTTTAGACCCTTAAATGATTTTTTTTGAAAAAACACAAAGAAGAAACCCCCCTTAAAATTAAGTTTTCTAGATAACCATGTCAAAAGAAAATTTTAATTGACAATGTAAAATGCCCAGAATGTCCTTAGATCAGACTTTTATTTCTGAAAATGCATACACTAGAAGATCAATTTTGACGCGGGGTTTTTGAAACTGCAACGACATTTTTTGGAAACACACAAAGAAGAAATCCTCCCTTAAAATCACGTTTTCTATGTGACCACGTCAAGGTCGGAATTTATTTTTCACAGAAAAATCTCCAAAATACCCTTGCACAAGATTTTACATAAAACCTAAAATGTAAGTTGCTTCAAGTATTCATTTCATGCAAGGAGGTGTTTTGTGCCAAAACAATTGTGCACGCAAACGTAATTAGTGATTTTAAGTGCGCAAGAATGGTTCGTGACCTCCAAATATGCCTGATACAAAATATGACCTATCAAACCCCATATTTGCCTAAAAATGAACTTTTAAAAGAAAAGTTTAAACTAAAAATTATCAAATTGTGTCAAAAGCGTGGGCAAATATTGAAGGGAAGAAGTAACTACCCCACCACCACATCCCCACTGATATATATACTTCGTTCCTTAATTATTATGGATGATACTACTTTCCATGAAAGATGACATTAAACAATTGAACCAGCTGGTAGGGTTAGAATGGTAGCTAGGTACATACATGTAGTATTATACAATTTGGCTGTATATATAATTATATAATAGGGCTACAACTTGGGCAAGCTAAATCAGCCCAGCCCAAGCCCAACCTGAAATTTTAAAATTTGGACTTTAAGTTTACAAATCAGGCTCATGTTCAGGTTGTGTTTTGTCAAAACTGAGACATATTCGGGTTGGGCTCGGACTCAATCCGAACCCAAAATAAAAAAATAAAAATTCATTTTTTTTCTCTCCTTTCTCTTTCTCTTTCTCTCTCTTTCGCCGTCCCTATACATTCAAGTTAGCAGTTGCAGAGAGAGGGGGGCAAGCTTGAGAGTTGAGAGACAGCGGTTGAAGCTTATGAACCTGAACTGGAACAGCGGGCGATGGGCGATGGAAACCGAAAGATCTGGGTTTTGATTTTTTGAACAGTCTAAAATGATATGCCGATATGGGTTTTAAACTTTTGATTCTCGCTGACAGATAGATAAAACTAAAATATATGGGTTCTGAAGTTCTGATTCTTGTAGATTTTGTAGTTTGCAATTGCGTAGAGAGAGAAAGAGAGAGAGAGAGAGTGGGCAAGTTTAGAGAGAATAGACATGGAGGCGATTGGGGAGGCTAAAATGATTTGCCCCAAAAATAAAATATATAATATATATATATATATATATATATATATATTATATATAATATATATATATTATTATTAAAAAACAAATTATATATATATATATATATTCAAAAAAAAAAATCAACCCACCAAACTAACCCAACCCGCCCGAAAATATTCAGACTGAATTATGACCATAACCCATGTTAGGTACAATTCGGGTTGGCCCAACCTAACCCGATACAGGTTGAAGCTAGATTAGGACTGAGCTGAGTTGGGCCAGCCTAACTTGCAGCCCTATTATATATTAGTCTTCAGTCACCTAATTAACCCAGCCCAACCAAATTTTGATAATGGAGGTCCACGGCTCATATCCATCTTTTATATACGTGGCAAAACCAAGAGGAGTACTACAGCTAGCTAGCTCAGAACTTGTCCGCATATATACAGGTTAATTAAGCAGCCCAGAGAATTAATGTACGTACACTATTATTTCATTGAACTACTGCATGCATAACACACACACACACACATAAGTTACTACCATGTCACTCACGCCATGGGCCATGAGAATATAAAAACCAACAAACATTGTTCAGTAGTGACCACTAATAATCAAGGCAGGCCGGTGACTTAGCCACTAATATATGTGTAGGCAACTGCTAGCTAGCTCAACAAGCAGACTACTTGAATAAGTATACAAGTCTTTTATTGATGAGAGAGAGAGAGAGAGACTTGATATCGATTAACAACCCTTCCCTCTCTATCCCCAAACTTAATAGGCCTTGGGAATACCACAAAACCCTAATCATTTCTCATCAATCCATCACAACACCATAATCAAATTATTCCCTACCTATAATATTGATACACCTTCAAAAGGAAATTTTATTAATGCTACGTACATGAATGTATAATCAAGTGCAAAATGTTATATATTCCAACTAATTCATATTACCTTGAAATACAAGATGTAGTTATCAAATACGTACTATACTAATTAAATCTTGATCATAATGGACTACTTATGACTCTCAAAATTCATCATCAACAATACTAATTATTTGGACCTCATGTATGTGGGCAACAAAAGGACCTAAAACCATACACTTGTAACTTAATTCTAACTTAATATACTATCTTAATTAAAATTACCAAAATGGAAATATTGGAAGCAAATTTGCTTTAATATATATAATAGTTTGTGTAATAACATAAAATGAGAAATGAATAATAAGGAATGATTAATGATCATGAGTGTGATACCCCTCGATTCTAGAGCCACGGGTGATCAAGTCCGAGTACAGATCCGAGGGATACCAAACAATTAATATGTAAACAAGTAGGAATAAAAACTGAATTAAGAATAAATTAATAATACGCTGAAAAAAATCTAAAATAAAAATCCTCAAACTTTAAATAATAAATTAATATCATTTAAATCCTTCAAATCCGTACAACTCGGGAATCCATCTAGTGGACCCCTAATAATTCCAACTGATAAAACGTTTACAAAATTAAAATCCAAAACTAAAGTAAGAAAGAAAATTCTATGTAGTCGGAAGAGTGAGAGTCTATATATGTATCAACACGATCAAGCTCTAAGCCTGGTATTGACGAATACTTGAAAAATAAGAGTGGGTCAGGCCCACATGTAAGTTCCAATCTACTATAATCCGTACATAAACCCGATACGCAGATACATCCTAGATAGCTCAACAATAGCTAAAGTAGTCCATATAGATATAAGTACACACTATATAACGTTCACCAGCCCACATAATCTGTCTCAACCCGAGTAGAACAACCAGGGAAACATCATTAGGCCTAGTTATCCATCCTAGGCGATATACGCACCCTAACCGTGATTAGGAAACTCAAGCTCGTATTACGGCATCAGAAGTATATATTTAAATCCTTCTTAATACAGAAAAGTAAAGCAACCATCCGTTATATCGTTCAACTGTTTTAGTTGACAGGACATGCATCCATGTAGGAGTTAACTGTTTTAGTTAATCCATTCCGTATGTATGAAGGGGTATGATTTAACTTTTTGATCTAATCCATCCCTGATATGTCACCGTCCCATACCGGTACATATAATGCAAATGCTCCAATAAATGATGAATACACATTTGGATATCAAATCCATCCAGAAATAAATATAATAGAAATCTGATATATGTAAGGTTATATTACACATCCAGTATAATCATAAGTCCTTCTTTTAAATTGTTAAAGTAATAATGAACAATTTAAACCATCCGTATCCATATAATTGACAAATCAGAAATTATAATCGTTTATCAATTAAAATCCATCCAATAATATAATGAAAATCAGAATATATAACTTGAACACATCATACCAAATCCCCAAACTTCTTTCATCCTCTTCCATTTAATCTGCTCAAACATATTTAGCAATTTAAGCTTTCACCATCCTTGACAACATGCAATCTATTATGTAAATTTCATGATGTCCCTCTAATCCTCCATTATAAATCCAGAGCTTTGTATAATGAATACTCAGAAGTATAAGCTACGCATAATAAATGAAATCCCAAAAGCATTTAGTTTGCTAACATAATAATTAGCAGTTACCACTTCCATACTCCTTGACGGCATTCACTTTAGTATCCATGTTTCATGATATCTATGACTATAGCAGAAGACAACATCCCTGGGATTTCCATATGTTATATATTTCATTTATATAACATCACAAAAACAACTTTTATTTTAGTCCGTTTAATTTACTAGTACAATACTAGAAATTAACCCTTCCACCCTCCTTGACTGCATGCTTAATTAATATTTAAAAGTCATGACACCCACTCCCATAGCCTAAATCAACAATTCTAGGTCTTTAATAAATTAAATACGTCATTTTAAAATCTCTCCATTAAATTTGCTT